TTCGCTTAACGTGGCATTTTTAAGGAATGTATCGACGGCTTTAAATGAGGACTTACCGTAATGTGGAAGTAATCTTTCAGCAATGGGATGTTTTGGCCCAATACCTGTTTACACTGTGTGTGGGATTCACAGTGTTTAACTGGGACCCACAGTCTCACACTGGGACCTACAGTCTCACACTGGGACCCACAGACTCACACTGGGACCTACAGTCCCACACAGAGACCCACAGTGTCACACTGGGACCCACAGTGTCACACTGGGACCCACAGTCTCACACTGGGACCCACAGTCTCACACAGGGACCCACAGTCTCACACAGGGACCCACAGTCTCACACAGGGACCTACAGTCCCACACAGGGACCCACAGTCTCACACTGGGACCCACAGTCTCACACTGGGACCCACAGTCTCACACAGGGACCCACAGTCCCACACAGGGACCCACAGTGTCACACAGGGACGAGTTTCACACTGGGACCCACAGTCTCACACTGGGACCCACAGTCCCACACAGGGACCCACAGTCCCACACAGGGACCCACAGTCCCACACAGGGACCCACAGTGTCACACAGGGACCAGTCTCACACAGGGACCCACAGTCTCACACAGGGACCCACATTCTCACACAGGGACCCACAGTCCCACACAGGGACCCACAGTCCCACACAGGGACCCACAGTCCCACACAGGGACCCACATTCTCACACAGGGACCCACATTCTCACATAGAGACCCACAGTGTCACACTGGGACCAGTCTCACACAGGGATCCACAGTGTCACACAGGGACCCACAGACTCACACTGGGACCCACAGTCTCACACAGGGACCCACAGACTTACACTGGGACCCACAGTCTCACACTGGGACCCACAGTCCCACACAGGGACCCACAGACTCACACAGGGACCTACATCCTTAACACGGACTCACACGCTTGGAAACTCCTACACGCTGTCGAGGAGACGCATTTTACTGGTAGGAACGAAGTTGTAAACTGAGTGTACCAGCCTGCAATAGATTAATGTGTCCGTCCGTCCCCTTTCAATACTTTAACGAAGTGAAATCTCGTGCTGTTGGGTGTAAAATCAGCAATAGACAGCGCAGAGACTTGACAAAATTCCAATGTTCCTACCAGCCCACCCTGCAGGGACCTGTTCCACCAGAGGGCAGAACGTAACCATGCACATACAGCACTGTACAGGCGCTTTAGTACTGCGACTCCCACATGGTTCAGTGTCAATCGCTCAGGCTCCCCAGAGCCAGACTAAAAACTCCTGTAGGGTTCAATGTTATACAAATTGCGTGCACACGAGCAGCTCTGTCAATCCACTGCTGGATAGATGCTTCCCGCTTGCTGTCTCGGTCGAGAGATGCAATTGCCGGTTCACACGTGACTCACCACACGTGACTCACCACGCGTGCTCGCCGTGGCCGGGAAAAATGTCTTTCAGATCGCCGGGTTCAGAGTGCAGTGCGCTAACCACTGGGCCACGACTCCTCCGCCACTGTGTACAATACGTGTGCCTATGTGTGTGGTGTGAATCATTTAACATCTAATTTGACCACGTAGTTCGTGGAGCCTTCAATAGCTGTACCGGGGGAATCTCCATATGGTACAGATATAATGGGAGGCTGATCGATGCCTGGGTGCGGTCAAGGGATGGCTCCCTATTACTCAACCACGTTATGTATGCCGATGATTTGGTAATAGCTGCTCATTCGGAGGAGGAGTTGGAGACCCTGCTGCTGAGACTGGAGCGTGCCACGAAGAGATGGGGCCTTACCATCAGCCCCACCAAAACTAAGCACCTGCCTGGGTATTTTGTACCATCGGACACTCCACCCCCACAACTCCCAATCGGTGATGGGGCAGTTGTGGAAAGAGTGGAGAGTTTCCCATACCTGGGCAGTGTGCTTATGACCAGCTCCAGTTTAACAGCAGAGGTCTCACTCCGAATCAGTCGAGCGGCAATATCTTTTCATCGGTTGCGTAACGCTGTGTGGAAGCTACCTGGTCTGTCGCTCCGCACTAAGCTTCAGGTCTTCTCGGCCACGGTCATTCCATCCCTTCTCTACGCTTGCGAAATGTGGACCCCCCCCCTAATGGAACATCTTCGCCGGTTAGAAACATTTAGGCTAGCCTGCCTATGATCCATCCTGGGTTTACCAGGCTGGATTGTGTGAGGAGCTCACAAATTCTTGAAAGATCTGGGCAAGGTCCCATCGGTGAGCTCCTTCGGCAGGCAAGGCTACGTTGGCTGGGTCATGTAGCCCGCATGCCCAGCCACCGCATGCCGAAACAGCTTTTGTTCGACCGGATCGAGGTGGCTAAATGGGCGTGGCACGGGCTAGAGAAGAGATGGAGTGATGTGGTACAGGAGGACGTGGAGCTGAGTGGACTTGCCGATGACTGGTACCAGCGGTGTCAAGATCGGCCTCTGTGGAGGAGGCTCGTGAAGGACGCTGCTGGGTAGTTAGAGGTAGTCGCCCTCCAACAACAACGGAGGGCGGAGGAGCGACGCTCACAACGAGCAGAGCGCCGGGTGGCTAAAGCACAGCAGGTTGGCACAGTAGGGGGCACAGGTGGTGCACCAGCCAGTCATCTCAGTCATCTTAGTCAGTCGACCCGTGGCACTTGGGTCTGCCCCGTGACCTCCTGTCCGCGGGCGTTGGACACTTCACGTGGCCTCAAGGTGCAAATAGCCTGGCACAAGCGTCGTGGTGACGTCACCGCCACTTAGTGGCGAATGGCGGTTGTTGTTATTGTTGATGTGAATCAATGCAGTGTAGACTTACACACAGACCCATAGACTTACAGATCCATAGACAAACACACGCAACCATTGACTTACAGTTCCACAGACAAACACACACGACCACTGACTTACACACAGATCCATAGACAAACACATAACCACTGACTTACATATCTATAGCCATACATACACACAACCATTGACTTACACACAGATGCATAGACAAACACATAACCACTGACTTACATATCCATAGACAAACACACACAACCAATGACTAACAACAACAGCCATTCGCCACTAAGTCGCGGTGACGTCACCACGACGCTTGTGCCAGGCCATGTGCACCTTGAGGCCACGTCAAGTGTCGAACGCCCGCGGGCAGGAGGTCACGGGGCAGACCCAAGTGCCACGGGTCGACTGACCATTGACTAAACACACAGATACATAGACATACACACAACTACTAACTTATACACAGATCCATAGACACACACACACAAGCACTGACTTTCACACAGATCCACAGACAAACGCACGGAACCACTGCCATAGACATACGGTCTACATAGCATCATTGACTTGCACATACCCATAGACACACACAGACCCACAGACTCAAATCGATACCCATACAAGCACTCAGACTCCCACAAAGACGCACAGCCTCACCCGGATACCCACACAGATGAGAAGGCCTATGCAGATGACACTGGTCGCACTCATCCCACACAAAGCGCTTGCCACAAATGACCACAACACCTTGCCGATCTCGTCAAGGAACATGAACCACCACGGGAACTGCGGTGGTCATCCTCGCAGCAGCGAACAAAGGCGGTGGTCACCGCATCGCGCGGCGCATTCAGATGCGCTGCTTCTGCGGCGTCTGGAGCGCTCTTCCTTCCGATATTAGGAAGCCGTTGGAGCTATGCACTTTAAAATAATCTAGATTGACAAACTCATTTCTTTATAACTGCTTGTTGTGTTTAGTTTCCTGTCCTTCCCCCGCACCTTCGATTAGCACGGTTGGCTACGTACGGTGCGAAATAAGCTCAACATACATACAGAGGAAGGAGAGGGACATTTAGGGGGAGATGGGAAGTCTACGGAGGAGGGAGATGTGGTGACAGTGAACGTGAAGTGGCACAGAATATACATCAGGACAGTGCAGTGACATCACACACATACACACCACTTGTGCATCACGTCACGGATTCCTGTTTGCACATTCTCTCTCACACACACACGCAGCAGCAGCAGCAATAGGAGAGACCACAACTTCCTCGGGAGCTCCGTGTCCTGAAGAAGCTCCCAGCAACGTGGAGCAAAACGTCGGGCATCGTGCTGAACAAACGCGCGGCTCAACCCGAGCACACGCGACGATTCTTGACTCTTCTTTGTGTATTTCATGAGACGGAGTTTTGTTCCGCAGTTTGCACGCAATTTTTGTTGAGCGCAGTCAGTGTCCTTTTGCGGACATTATTACATCGCATTTATATACGCGCATTTAATTGCGAAGTCCAATTCTCATTAAACTGTTGTACAAATGTACTCTAGACATATTTTCTCAGCGTAAAAATGTTTAAATAATTCAGTGTGCTTAAAGTGTCTTGAAGAAGGGCTCGGGTCACCCCTTGCAAAATAGTCTGACGACGTCCCACGTGCCTCTCCGCACGTGCATTGCATCCAGTGGTAAAAACAGCAGATACCGAGTGACCGAACGGCTTACTGCTGATGATACACTGAATGTCAAAACCGGTTCATATTTTAATTACTGTTATTTCTGTTGTTATTCCTGTCATTGTCTTTAGGCAACACCAATAAGGTTACAATCCTGTCCATAGGGGGCTCCCAGAGGCATTATGGCTGCAGTAAAAACGGATAACGGTGCTGCACTGATGAGTCCGAGTGAGAATGAAACCAGTCTACAGCGACCTCGTTTCACTGCTGCCTGCTCGGCTGAGTCACATTTTCTCAACTCTTGAGTTGCTGGCGCTAAATGACAAAATTGCCGCACATTCAGTTATTTTTGAGCTGGTGGTCTGGCTAAGGCTGAAAGTGTTTGTACGTGCAATGCAATACCCTTCGCGTGTTGTGATGATGGATGGCAGGTGTCGACCTGCAGGAAGGGAAGTGATGGTTATATGCGAGGTGGAGTGGTGGGACGCTATTAAGCACGTGGATAGAAACGCGTTTTTGTTCTGTTGGAAGTAAATCGACTCGTTCACTTGAAATTTAATCTTGTACATTTTATTAAATGCAAGGTTACACTTTTTTTATACGTATGAATGTGCCAAAGTTGGCTTTTGATACATGCCTCTGACCTCACGCTCCTGGGTTTACACAAACGACGCGAGTTCCGTGTGTCATCGGCTTTTGGTTGTGACCAACATATACAGGGATACAGAGCCCGCGTGATTAAAGCACCCCCAATGAAGCCAGAACACACCGCATACTTTGGTGAACCAGGCCATACATGCAGCTCACCTGCTCTGTGTGAACAGCATAAGTTTAACTGGAGCTGAAAGCGAGGCCGATTCTATTCCTTGACACTCGATATACAGTATAACGAACAGGCTTCAATGTACGTGCGAGTTTACTTATCTGTGATGGTTGTTGATTACATTATTTGAAGCAGCGTTCTACGGCACGATATGTGGAGCGCAAGCATACACTTCAATCGTACTCTGGTACAAGGTCCAAGTCCTAACCCAAAGTTACCGGCAGATGTTCGGAAACCCATCTTTCGAGTCTGAGCCAGCTTTTACGACAGACTTGAGCGTCATTATTCCCAAAGAGCGTTCCCCGTGTGATCAGTGCGGCGCATTTGTGATGGAAGTGGGTCTCGGAGGAGCGCGGGGTGACAAATGTTCAGACCTGCACGAATGCGTCTCTGCACGAGCACGCGACTTGGCACGATCAGACGACGGGGTTACTCCGATGAGCGTGCGTCAGTGGCCATATCCATCGCTGGCTCTGAAGCAGATGGCGAGCGCTGGGAAATTCCTAAATCCTATGTCAGGACCGGTATCGCCCGTACGGTGACCGCCGTTAGCGTCCCCGGCAATATTTGGTCTCTTCCACGTGACCCACAGCCCTAGGATACTGCTGACAAGAGTGGATGTCTAACACAAAACCCCAACAGCAACGAGTCTGTGCACGTCGACAACGGCAGAACGCGTGTTACACAACCCACGGATAAAAATACGCACGGGACACCTCACGTACACATGCGAGTGAACGGCGACACAAATATGCACATCACTTAAAGCAGCCCATGCGAATAGGCAGTCCACACCACGCACCGCACGACTCTATGACGCGCGCACAAACGCCATTCGTAACGCCACCGCTCCTCCGATTTAGCCCACGGTGCTCACAGTCGTGTACGTGTAGCGGGACATGGACGCGCTCGTCCCAGTCCCGTCCTCCTCCCCGCTAGCCTCCAGTCGAACGCCGCCGCCCCGAGTTCCCCAAGACCGCAGGTCCCAAACCCACGTCCGCCCTCGCGCCACGATCCCCCGAGGTTCCCTCAAATCCGGCCACTTACCCGAGGGCGTGCCCCCGTGAGTGCAGCGAGCGCCTTTGGCGGCGCCCTTCGGCGAGCAGCAGACGGAGGCGCAGCAGCGCGAGATCGTGGCGGTGCACGCCTGCCTAAAGCGCTTGTTCATGAAGCAGTAAATGATGGGGTTTAGGCACGCGGAGGCGTAAGACATGAGGTGTATGAAGGAAATCGGAGCGCCGGAGAGGACCTGGCTCGCCCTGCATTTGTCGAAGGCTCGCCAAGCGTTTGCGCTGAACACCGGCGTCCAACAGATGAAAAACATCACCACGATGGTGATGAGCATACGGATGACGCGCTTCTTGGCCAGGAGGTTGGCTTCCGAGGCAGTGCTGCGAGCGCGGTCGATGGGCTTGGAGCCGCAATCCGCGTTCTCGCCGCTCCGTCTCGTGGATTTATTCTGTACCCCACACAAACACGCGCAAAAAAAAAAAACCATTATTAAGCACGGCTCCGAAACTTTACTCTCATCGTCACTATCAACTTGCATCCTATCGCTCTTCACGGTTGAGTTCTTATCGAATGATCAATCAAGATCGGACATTTCATTGTCCTGTTCCACTGCCAAATAAACACAGATGATCGCGACACACACATATCAATGACATGCTATACATTGATGACCATGTGCCAAAACATGTTGCATTCATGCAGGAAGGTTAAGAAACACAAACGTTTGTGAATAAGGTCCAAGCTTACCAGAGACGGGTTGCGATGTGCCAGGGATGTCTGCTGCTGCTGCTGCAGATTGCCCATCTCGATGGCGGAGCGACTTGGGGAAACGTAGCATCCATCACCATCCCCATCACCATCATCGCCTCCATCGCTGTAGCCGTCAGAACCAGAAGCGTACCTTGCGCCTTGCTTTATTTCTGCACCGAAAGTCAGACCAGGGATTCAAATGTAAATGCTGGTCTTTTATCCCAGAGAATCTGAGAGCCCATTGGGGTTTTCCCTTTTAACGAGTAGTTGTTGGGGCGGCAGGGGGGTAACACAAAGTGAAATGAGTTTGCAGCAGCATCTTCAATCGACAAGAGTTTACGGACACCCGTGGACGCGTTTTAAAGTCCGAAAAAGGCAAAACGACACGAACTCTCTCCCGAAGCCCTCTCGTGGCGAACAGACCTCAACATTTCCATTTACCTCGTGAAAATATTGTCATATGCAATGGTAGAATAGTCGACGAGTAATGGTAAGTATATGGACAAACTCAATCTACAGGGACTTCTCTACCTACGAAAAACGACTTACGAACTTTCAGAGACACGAACAAACCTGTCCGTATGTCCAGTTCCCTGTTCGAAGCGAGTCGTAAGTTCAACCGCCAGGCAATAGATGGTAGTGGTGGCATCTACATCTGAAGAAGAGTGGCATCTACATCTACGGGAAATTATATTACTTTTAAATTCCCTGTGTGTAGTGGACATTACGTACCACGTATTTGGAACCGACGGGAGTAAAGTTGGACTTACGACCACATCGACTTACGAACAGACCTCTTGAACCTAACTCATGCATAAGTAGAGGAGTATCTTCATATATTTTTTTATTGTATGGACCGTAGAGTAAACAACTGTAATCTGCGATCCTTCAGCGGAGGAGGAAAAGCAAAACTCCAGAAACTCTCTCCTGAAGCCCTCTCGTCCTGGCCAGCAGCAGCAGACCTCGACATTGGCATCTGTAGGTGCTGAACATATTGCTGCTGCCATTGTAGAAACCCTCTTAACGACCACCCCTCTGAACAACTAACCGCTTAACGACGGCCTCCACAGAGCCCAATGTGTAGTTTATAGTGTAGTGTATAGTAGTGTAGTTTACAGTAATGTAGTGTATAGTGTAGTGTAAAGTAGTGTAGTGTATAGTGTAGTGTATAGTAGTGTAGTGTACAGTAATGTAGTGTATAGTGTAGTGTATAGTAGTGTAGTGTACAGTAATGCAGTGTATAGTGTAGTGTATAGTAGTGTCGTGTATGGTGTTATGTATAGTAGTGTAGTGTACAGTAGTGCAGTGTATAGTAGTGTAGTGTACAGTAATGTAGTGTATGAGTGCAGTGTATGAGTGCAGTGTATAGTAGTGTAGTGTATAGTAGTGTAGTGTATAGTAGTGTAGTGTATAGTGTAGTGTATGGTTAGTATAGTGTATGAGTGCAATGTTTCGTAGTGTAGTGCCTCCATAGAGCCCAATGTGTTCACTTACTGACCATTCCACTGTTAACGATGGGCTGTTGTAGGTACAGTAAATATGAATGCATTGATTAACCGTGTTTATTTTCATATTATGTCTTATAATGTTGTTAGTATCTTTACGTATTAATATCCATTGTTTAAATGTTATAAAGTAGATTTTGGGTAAAGAAGGGTAACTTCCGATGCTATCGGAACAAATTCAGCCTCTAACACGTGGTTATCTATACTCGCTTAACGAGCAATTCACTTAACGACCGGTTCGTGGAACCAATCAACGTCGCCAAGAGCGGTTCTACTATATTACATTCACTAATAACTTCATTGGCTACATTAGCGTAAGATGGAATGCGCATTATGAGTTAGAATTTATTTTTCATATCGATGTGGCATGGCGACGCCGTTACCAATGAGTAGTGGCGTCACCGAGCGACGTTTCGGTAAGGAGTGAAATTTCGATTGTTGATTTTGCCATGGCTCAATGTTTGCGGGAAAATTGCGAACTTGGAAGTTCAAGTGGGCTTCACACCCTCGGTCTCTCTCCTCTGCCGACTCTCGAACTTGATGCCCTTGTACAGCTCCCAGGAGATGAGTCCATAGGCCACCATCATGATGAGGCCGGGCAGCAGGAATAGCGCCACCAGTAGAAACAACTGCCTGCGTTACACATGGACACACAACACAACGACTGTTGGGCCAAGTGCTGTTAGCGAGTGGTACCTATGAAGGCCAACAACAACGCCCGGCCACCTTTGTCTCCCCAGTGGCGATGTTTTACACATCGCACCAGGTACTCAATTGAGGCTGAGTCGACCTAGGGGAGGCCCAGGGCCGGTTCAGATAATCGTCACTGGCGTTGGCCGTGAGCGGGAATCGAACTCGGCACGCCGGGTTCATAGCGCAGTGTGCTAAACGCTACACACACATGCACACGCAGATATGGTGTTAGCGAGCGCCTATTAGACTGACATGGTGTATGAGGGGGTTGTGGTGTGGTCAGCACCACGCCCGGCCACCGGTGTATTCCCAGGGCGGATGCCTTTGTGACGTTGTGCGAGACGAAGTGTAATTGGTCGATTCAGCACGCGGCCCCAGGCTCCCACCAGCAACCCCCTCGGCTTGAGGTGCTGAGAGGGGAGCCCACCGCCCGATCTGCACGGCGCGGAGGACGAATTTGGTGGAATTGTTTTGACGCAATTCAACCCATTTGTCGCTACAATTCCGGATCAAGAGGAGTAAGGATGCCCCCCCCCCCCCCCCCGGTAGTCTCCCCCTGGAACTCTGCCGGCCCAGGACACGCTGCTGCTGCTGCTGGCAGTGGTGGTGCTGGTGGTGTGACTGCGTCGCTCGGCTGGCCTGGGGATGCCTGGGAATTGCCCAGGAAGAGCTAGAATCTGTGTATAGCAGTGGAATGTATAGTGTAGTGTATAGTAGTGTATAGTGTAGTAGTGTATAGTGTAGTGTATAGTGTAGTATATAGTGTATAGTAGTGTACTGTATAGTGTAGTAGTGTATAGTGTAGTGTATAGTGTAGTATATAGTGTATAGTAGTGTAGTGTATAGTGTAGTAGTGTATAGTGTAGTGTATAGTGTAGTGTATAGTGTATAGTAGTGTAGTGTATGGTGTAGTAGTGCTAAAGTCCATCACCAGGGAAACGGAGGTCTGAAACTCCCAATACTCAACGCGCTGCCTCCGTGACCCTCACCAGGACAAGCGGACTGCTAAACCCGCGACAGCTTCTACCCACGAACTCAAGCTGCATCAAGCCGTGTTGGATCAGCCCCTGTTAACTTACTCCACTTCCTCCAAACAATTCCACACAATTCCCCGTTCCACCCCCTCGAGCTCAACCCGGGTGTGCTGCGCGGCTCGCGAACCAGGCCTGCTGCAGCGCCACGTTGGTCAACGCCATCCGGCACATCTGGCCCGTGGTGCCGTCACGCTTGGTGAAGACGAGCAGGTCGTAGAACGCCGCGTATGGGATCATGAGCAGCATGGAGAGGCTCCAAGTGACGGCGATCACGCGCTGCGCGTGGGACCGCGTCTGCCACACGCGCGACGCCAGCGGGTTGCAGATCGCGCCGTAGCGCTCGATGGAGATGGCCACCAGGCTGAAGGTGGAGACGCTCACGGAGAGACCTTGGAGGGACGGGGGCAGAGAGGCGCACGCGAGGGGGGGGGGAGGGGGGGGGAGGGGGGGGCGCGTTCGTGGTTTTAGTGGCGCGTTCTGGCCCACCGCCGTGGCGGGGGAGACCAAATGTATAGACATGGGTGGTGAAGAGACCCCCCCCGGGGCCGGGCCCAGGGCACGCTGCTGGAGGAAACTGTCGCTCGGCTGGCCTGGGAATTCCCCAGGAAGAGCTAGAGTCTGTGTATAATAGTGTAGTGTATAGTGTAGTGTATAGTAGTGTATAGTGTAGTGTATAGTGTAGTGTGTATAGTAGTGTAGTGTGTATAGTAGTGTAGTGTGTATAGTAGTGTATAGTGTAGTGTATAGTAGTGGTGTATAGTAGTGTAGTGTATAGAGTATAGTAGTGTATAGCGTATAGTAGTGTATAGTTTAGTGTGTATAGTAGTCTAGTGTATAGTAGTGTATAGTGTAGTGTGTATAGTAGTGTAGTGTATAGTAGTGTAGTGTATAGTAGTGTATAGTGTAGTGTGTATAGTAGTGTAGTGTATAGTAGTGTAGTGTGTATAGTAGTGTAGTGTGTATAGTAGTGTAGTGTGTATAGTAGTGTATAGTGTAGTGTATTTTAGTGGTGTATAGTAGTGTAGTGTATAGAGTATAGTAGTGTATAGTAGTGTATAGTGTAGTGTATAGTGTAGTGTGTATAGTAGTCTAGTGTATAGTAGTGTATAGTGTAGTGTGTATAGTAGTGTATAGTAGTGTAGTGTATAGTAGTGTATAGTGTAGTGTAGTGTATAGTAGTGTAGTGTGTATAGTAGTGTAGTGTGCATAGTAGTGTATAGTGTAGTGTATGGTGCATAGTGGTGTTTAGTGCAGTCGTGTATAGTAATGTAGTGTATAGTGTAGTATATAGTGTAGTAGTGTATAGTAATGTAGTGGATAGTGTAGTATATAGTGTAGTGTATAGTGTATGATGTAGTGTGTAGTAGTGTATGATGTAGTGTATAGTGTAGTAGTGCTGGAGTCTGTTGCCAGGGAGAGGGAGGTGCGGACCGCCACAACTCAACACGCTGCTGTAGTGTATAGTAATGTAGTATATAGTGTAGTGTATAGTGTATGATGTAGTATATAGTGGTGTATAGTGTATGATGTAGTGTATGGTGTAGTAGTGTATAGTAATGTAGTGTATGATGTAGTGCATGGTGTAGTAGTGTATAATAATGTAGTGTATGATGTAGTGTATGGTGTAGTAGTGTATAGTAATGTAGTGTATGATGTAGTGCATGGTGTAGTAGGGTATAGTAATGTAGTGTATGATGTAGTGTATAGTGTAATAGTGTAAATTAATGTAGTGTATGATGTAGTGTATGGTGTAGTAGTGTATAGTAGTGTATAGTGTAGTAGTGTATAGTGTAGTAGTGTATAGTAATGTAGTATATGGTGTAGTGTATAGTGTAGTAGTGTATAGTAGTGTATACTAGTGTATAGTGTAGTAGTGTATAGTAGTGTAGTGTATGATGTAGTCTATAGTAATGTAGTATATAGTGTAGTGTATAGTGTAGTAGTGCTGGAGTCTGTCGCCACGGAGAGCGAGGTGTGGACCGCCACAACTCAACACGCTGATGTAGTGTATAGTAATGTAGTGTATGATGTAGTGTATGGTGTAGTAGTGTATAGTAATGTAGTGTATGGTGTAGTGTATGGTGTAGTAGTGTATAGTAATGTAGTGTATGATGTAGTGTATAGTGTAGTAGTGTATAGTAGTGTATAGTAGTGTATAGTGTAGTAGTGTATAGTAATGTAGTATATAGTGTAGTAGTGTATGATGTAGTAGTGCTGGAGTCTGTCGCCAGGGAGAGAGAGGTGTGGACCGCCACAACTCAACACGCTGCTGCTGCTGCTGCCGCAGAGACCCTCACCAGGACAAGCGCTCTGAGAAACGAACGAGCAACTCTGAAAATAACATAAATTACATTTTAAGACGAGCTATGTTTTATATTTTCAGTAAATATCCCACCAGTCAACGAGCCCCACCACATGGCAGCTAACCTAGCGGTCAACCGAGCTCACAGGTCAACAGAGCCCACAGGTCAACATAGCCCACAGGTCAACATAGCCCACAGGTCAACCGAGTTCACAGGTCAACAGAGCCCACAGGTCAACCGAGCTCACAGGTCAACAGAGCCCACAGGTCAACAGCCCACAGGTAAACAGCCCACAGGTCAACAGAGCCCACAGGTCAACCGAGCTCACAGGTCAACAGAGCTCACAGGTCAACAGAGCCCACAGGTCAACAGAGCCCACAGGTCAACCGAGCTCACAGGTCAACAGAGCCCACAGGTCAACCGAGCTCACAGGTCAACAGAGCCCACAGGTCAACAGAGCCCACAGGTCAACCGAGCTCACAGGTCAACAGAGCCCACAGGTCAACCGAGCTCACAGGTCAACAGAGCTCACAGGTCAACAGAGCCCACAGGTCAACCGAGCTCACAGGTCAACAGAGCCCACAGGTCAACAGCCCACAGGTCAACAGAGCCCACAGGTCAACCGAGCCCACAGGTAAACAGCCCACAGGTCAACAGAGCCCACAGGTCAACCGAGCTCACAGGTCAACAGAGCCCACAGGTCAACAGCCCACAGGTCAACAGAGCCCACAGGTCAACCGAGCTCACAGGTCAACAGAGCTCACAGGTCAACAGAGCCCACAGGTCAACAGCCCACAGGTCAACAGAGCCCACAGGTCAACAGAGCCCACAGGTCAACAGAGCCCACAGGTCAACAGCCCACAGGTCAACGTTGAGAAGTTCTCAGTGAGCGATGCCATCACACTAGGTTAGAGAATGAGTGCAAAGATGATGATGACGATGTTTATTCTTTGTTTTTTTTTCGGCAAAGTCACGTAGATAGGTAATGATTAAGACGCCATTTGCCCAATTAAATGGAAGTTTAAATTCGGCAAATGGATTTGCTGTTGTATTTCATGATATTCTCGTGTCTTAGTTTGCACGCACTATCGCCACGTTCAGGTGTCTGCCGCCGTGTCCTCTGTTGCAGGGCTTCGAGACACCGCGATGAACGTCGCCTGTGGAGGTCACGTGGGGACACGTGCCAGGATCGAGGGTGGCGGCGGGGGGGGGGAAATCACGTAAGGGATAAATGAACAGCACCCGGAGAAGTGGTTACACAACAAAGGCGCTGGCAAAGGGATTTGGTGTGGAATAAAGGGGATTGGGATTGGAGGAAATCCGGCCGAAATGATGAGAGATTATAAAGAGGTGTGAGTCAACGACTGGGACGGAAAAGGCTGGACATCAACAACATTTGTTCCTTCCCTCGGAACTTCCGATTAAGCACGGTTGGCTACATACGGTGCGAAAGAAGTTCAACACACACACACATTTACACTGACGAGTGGCAAGGCAGCAGCAGCAACCACGTGGCGACCCGGTGCCAAATTGGCCCCCAAGTTCTGTGATCCTCTATATATGAAGGTGTAATCGGTTAATAGACGAGTGTTTACTGGAGCAGCTGTAATAAAAGCCCACAAGTACGAGGGGGAAACACTCTATCCCACACAGAAGGACCAGTTGGAGTTCACGCTTTGCTGTGTATACCGCCTTCTGGCAAACCAGGGTTATGGCTCTGCCCTGCAAGCGTCAGCGTTGAACGGATTCAATAAAAGTTCCCTTCACCAGGACAACTCGTGTGGACTCCCTTTCAAGTACAATTGCTCCCATTATAAATCTGCTACAAAACCGCTTAGGTGATCAAAGCGCGTTGCACCTCCACACACACACACGCACGCACGCGCGCCACCGCGACCACGGAGATCGCGCGGCCTCACCCATGAGGTAAGCCACGGCCCGGCACACCATCTCGCCGAATATGAAGTCCTTCATGAGGTTGGGCACCAGCGTGAAGGGCATGCAGAAGAGCACGAGCAACAGGTCGCTGACGGCGAGTGATAGCAGGAACACGTTGGTGACCGTGCGCATGCGCCGGTTGCAGGCCAGCACCGCGATGATCATGCCGTTGCCGACCACGCTGAGCAGGAAGATCGCCGAGTAGAGGGCGATCCGCAGGGACACGGCAAGGTCTGAAACTGACAAAGGGGGTCAGAGGCCATGAGGTTTTTTTTTTCAACCGAATTTGTTCATTTCCATACGATTGACAACAGGTGGAAGCCAATAGAAAGATGGTCATAATAATTCACACCACTTATAAAGCGCGTTGCACCCAGAAGTCGCAAGGCGCTGCAAAGGGCTAAAAGCAAGTCAATAAATAAATGCAATTCCTAAACCTAAAATTAACAACGCAGGCTCATAATTTAACCACAGATATAAATACCCCCTCCCCTCCCCCCACACACTCCCTAAACACACAACAAAATTAACAAAGGAGAAATAACTTTTAAAGAAACAAAATGCCTTAAGGCGGGATTCAAATAAACGGAGGGACTCAGCAGATTGGACAGGGAGTGAATTCAACAGCTTGGGGGTCACACGGGATAAAGGACCCGCGGGTCACCCATTGAACGGAGGCGCAAACTCGGCACACGCAACAATAGCCCACACTCAGACAAGCGGAGAACTCGCGTTAGAACATGTGGGTGGAGGAAGTCACGGACGTAAGAGGGGGGGGGGGGGGTTATTGAGCGCCTTGTAGGTGGGAAGAAGGATCTTGAACTCCACTCGGAAGCTGACCGGTAACCCACGGAGAGACTCAAGTTCAGGGGTAATGTGCTCAGCGGCTGGTGTTCAAGTAAAACCTCTGGCAGCTGCATTCAGCACAGCTATTGTCTATAAACACAGCTAATAAACACAACTACATGTATTGTCTTGTAGATGAATACGTGCCATGCTTGTGGGCTCCAGGCTGTTTGGAGAAAGAGGGTGTGTTTAAAAGGAGTACATATATACAGTATATTAAAGTCACTATCAGGGGTCCTCTGGCTATGTCACTGCAGACCATTTCTGTACGTTTCATGAGAACACTTCCAACTCATGTCAGACAACCCAAGACACAACACCGAGATATGTATACACAGCTGGTTTATTTTATCGTGGCTTGCATCTTCATTAAATAGTATGGAAAGTAGTAATGTTACTCGACAAAACCAACGTGTACATCGAAGCAGAATGGCTTTCTGGAAGGAATATAAAATGCCTTCCACCGCATTCTGGCAGTACGGTTGTGAAATTTATTCTTTCATATTACCTGAATATTCAACCGACCTTCCCCCTGCCACTCTACCATAATGCCTTCTCTCTTCGGCTTCCCCCATTCGTCACACTGTGAGAGAGTCACAATCTCCTCCGCTGTCACAGTCGCCTTCAGCTGCGTTGATGCGGGCGACTGACGGCACTGCTGTGGGCATTTTCCAGATACGAAATGGGGCTTCTTTTTTCCCCACTGAGAAGTTATGCGTAGCCTCCGTCTCTCGCTGGGTTAAAACTTCCCCCAGGTCACTGCAAAATCCCTTCTTGGTTCTGTAATGCGATGGTGTTGACTTGATCTCTCAAGGATCTCGCGATCTCCTCACACAATTGCAGCTTGGTCAAACCCGGGATGGATTGGAGGCAGGCCAGCCTAAACGTTTCAGACTGGCGCAGATGTTTTTTTTTTAAAGGGGCCCACATTTCGCAAGGACAGAGAAGGGAGGGCATGACTGTGGCCGAAAAGAACCGAAGCTGCATATGGAACGATATACAAGGTAGGCGATCCCACAATAGCCTTGGACTCAAAGCTTCCACACCACCATGGTCTCACGCTCCCCTTCATTATTTTGTTCAGTAGAACGAGACTAACCTAAACTTTTTTATTTTACCAGGTAAGGCCCACTGAGCTATATAGTAGCTATTTTTAAGAAGCGACCTGGCCACAAATGATAGCTCAACAAAGTGGCTTATCGTGTGGAAATGTACAGCAGACAAATACTCTAAACGCATGCTTCTAATTGTGGAAGGAAACACCGGAGGACCTGGAGAAAAATCCATGCAACCACGGGGAGAACATGCAAACTCCAAATATACAGACGTCAGGGTTGGGATCGAACCCACAACTTCCTGTAAACCAGACGAGGCAGTTAACATCTGGCAACCGCAGCGCTCAGAACAGCCCACTCCTGCCCCGAGTGGAGAACTGTACATCCCTTGTAGCGACTAGAGCCACGGAGCCAGTCCACCAGAACTCCTGATCTCCACAGACTTCCAGGTGGTATAGCTCCAACTCCTGACAGAGGAATAGCAGTATCCCCCCCCCCACCCTGCATTTAGCGTTTGAACATTCCCACGTGGCCAGCTTCAGAGTTTTCCGTTGCTTCTGGGGGGACTCGCAGGAGGGGGGATGGGGGGGTCAGTCTCGTGCCTCTGCCGAATGGCGTTTGGCCAGGAGATGTCACAGGCTCCTGCATGCTGAGTCATCCCCTGCATTAGGAGTGGGGTTTGCACCACAATCTGGCTTCGACCAACGTGTAAGCGTAGCAGTAAAGAAGGCCGAAATAAACTACACCTTGCCCCAACCCCCGCCCCCACCAAAAAAAAACATGAGCCAACTCCACTTTAGAGAAACAAATTGTTTCTTTCATTTGACATCATCGAAGTGCTTCGTATTTAAAAGTAGATATTTTTAAACGTGAGCAAATAATCCACCTGTTGCCACTGGCTTACGTGGGGCAGAGCGCTGTCCCTTACCTTGCTGCCGAGTCGGGCAGGAAACGTTGCGCTGGGTCTGGTTTTGGTGAGAGCCCTGGGCGGCTTCTCCCACCGCGTGGAGTAAGCCCGCAGAGCCGTTTGCGTTGCTGACATTCAAAGCGTCCATGTTCAGTCCGTTGTCACCGTTACACGAGTCTCATCGTGCACTGCAAGGGGGGTAAGGGGATTTGGTCAATGAGAGGCACGGATATGGGGGGGGGGGGGGGTTCGTTAATAAAACTACACGAATTAAATTGATTACAGATGTTATTGTTTTACAGTGCTCCTTGTTGTTTGATTGATGGGGGTGTTGTTTGTGGTCTGAGGGCCAGGGGCCAACAGTAAGGGATCTCAGCCAAGGCAGTGCAGGGCAGGCATTGCCTCGTGTGGTGCTTAGGATGCATTCTTGGTAAACGGGGCATTATTGGAAACAGCGCTGTTAGGTGGGTCACTATAACATGGTCGCGATGAAGATGCGCCTACTGACAATGCTGGGTGAGCCACAGTGGCCAGGAGATGTTAACTACCTCGTCTGGTGCGCAGGAGGTAGTGGGTTCGATCCCGACCCTGACTGCTGTACATGTGGAGTTTGCCTGAGTCTCTCTTCCCGTGGTCTACGTTTAGAAACATCACCACGCGTTTAGACGATTTGGCTGCAATCAATTTCCACGTGATGAGCCACTCCGTTGAACTATCATTTGTGGCTTCTGAAACAGCTATATAGTTCATTGGGCCTTACCTGGTAAAATAAATAATTACTTTTCACCTATGAGCGACATATGAAGGCTTCATTTGGGGTATTGGTAATATCCTTAATAATTATACTGTATACGTGATAAAATGTATTACATCCTTTCATATGTTATTATTTTAAATTATAACGACCATAACAAAGTCTATATACAGGGACTCTTTTATTTAAGAACATTCGACTTTCAAACATTCAGAGATACGAACAAACCTATCTGTATGTCCTGTTGCCTGTTCGGACCAGTGACATGTACACCCACAGGAGATGATACAACTCTTAAAGCCATTCCCATGTTTAGTGTACATGCCGTACAACGTGTTTTAAATCGACAAGAGTAAAGTTGGACTTACGAACAAATCGACTTACGAACAGACCTCTGGAACCTAACTCGTCCGTAGGTAGAGGACTCTATTCCTCATTCCCCCCGTTTGTAACCCTAGAGCCAATGGTCAAAATTCCAAGTATATAAATATATGTGGCAGGGCCAAGTCCGTCGGGTTCCCCACCAAGTGGCGTTAATAGTTTGATCGAGATAAACAAACAAAAAACATCCCATACTATCCCATACTTTACAACACAGCCTTGCCTGGACGTTTAAGAATACAGGTGTTGCTGATACATTATGTGTTTTTTGTTATTGTTTCCCCCGTTCACAGTTCTTCTCACTTGCGCCGTTTCCACTCGACCCATCGGCACGTCCCACGTGCTGCGCGAGATGCCACCTTGATGGAGAAATGTTACCGGCGAATCTGACGGCGCTCACTGTTCACCCCGTGCCCCCTCTACGTCTCGGCGCTGAATCAAAACAGCAAGAGCACGCAAAAAAAAACACCGCGGTAACAAACAATACAAAAATAAATTAACATTCCAACATGTTTTTGCATCGGCAAAATAAATATTCGGCACGAATACGTTGGCCTCATCGCGAGGGTCACGGTTTGGGCCGATGCGAGCTGGCAGAGGAATGATGACGGGGCGCAGACACTCACTTGTCTCTGACGTCCACGTGAACACTCACTCAGAGTGAGTGAAAGTGAACACTCAATTGTCTCTGACGTCCACGTGAACACTCACTCAGAGTTAGTGAAAGTGAACACTCACTTGTCTCTGACGTCCACGTGAACACTCACTCAGAGTTAGTGAAAGTGAACACTCACTTGTCTCTGACGTCCACGTGAACACTCACTCAGAGTTAGTGAAAGTGAACACTCACTTGTCTCTGACGTCCACGTGAACACTCACTCAGAGTTAGTGAAAGTGAACACTCACTCATAGTTAGTGAAAGTGAACACTCACTTGTCTCTGACGTCCACGTGAACACTCACTCAGAGTGAGTGAAAGTGGACACTCACTTGTCTCTGACGTCCACGTGAACACTCACTCAGAGTTAGTGAAAGTGAACACCCACTTGTCTCTGACGTCCACGTGAACACTCACTCAGAGTTAGTGAAAGTGAACACTCACTCAGAGTTAGTGAAAGTGAACATTCACTTGTCTCTGACGTCCACGTGAACACTCACTCAGAGTGAGTGAAAGTGAACACTCACTTGTCTCTGACGTCCACGTGAACACTCACTCAGAGTTAGTGAAAGTGAACACTCAGAGTGAGTGAAAGTGAACACTCACTCAGAGTTAGTGAAAGTGAACACTCAGAGTGAGTGAAAGTGAACACTCACTCAGAGTGAGTGAAAGTGAACACTCAGAGTGAGTGAAAGTGAACACTCACTCAGAGTGAGTGAAAGTGAACACTCAGAGTGAAAGTGAACACTCAGAGTGAGTGAAAGTGAACACTCAGAGTGAGTGAAAGTGCACACTCAGAGTGAGTGAAAGTGCACACTCACTCAGAGTGAGTGAAAGTGAACACTCAGAGTGAGTGAAAGTGAACACTCAGAGTGAGTGAAAGTGAACACTCTGAGTGAGTGAAAGTGAACACTCAGAGTGAGTGAAAGTGTAACAAGGTGGACAAGTATTCCACGCCAGTGCTCTCCTCCACTCGCCGTTTCACTACGATACAGACCCTGATCCAGCCGTGGCCACTGGACATCAATGAACCCATATCTAAGTGGGGACGAGGATCCTTACCGGTCAACATCTGGCAGTTCACCAGCACTGGTTTAACCAAAGACGACTGCTGATCAAACACTGGATGTCAAAACCGGTACATTTTTAAACCAATGCTGCTTGAGATTGCACTTTATTTGTCTGTGTAGACAGAAAAATAATGCCATATTTTCTGCTTATCTATTTTATCACTCAGAAATAAAGTGTGACACTGGGAAATATATAAATCACCATCTTGACCTGGGTTAAGAGTCACCCGTGATTCTTTAAAAAGTCATCTCTCCGCGCACTGACAGATTGATGAGTGTATTTACTTATGCACTTATTTAAGAGGTCCCATGATGTACGCTTCACTTCGAACCCTCTGGGATGACATTTTGACCCATGTTGGTATTCATATATTCATTTGTTTATGTATACTCTTATAGCTTTCATTGTGATATGGTATTGACTTAAAGGGAACAAGTGGAATAAGTCATATGGGGAACCCCCCAAGCGTGAAATGTGTTGACGGATATCGTATAATAATAATACATGGCGAGTTGACAGATATTCCGATCGAACATCATAGGAAAAAGCCCCCATTACCTTGCGAGCCCTAGCTCAGCTGTCATATCCACATCAGCCCGAATGAGCGAGCAACTTCACAGAAGCCATTCAGTCATTTCCCATGATAATACGCAGGCTACCTGTCTTTCACCTCTAAGTGAATTCATATCTCGTCCTGGTCTACAGTAAAAAAAGAGAACACAACACGTTCTTGCTGAGAATAATTCCCTTTGGCGAGACGAATGCATGCGGCGACACTGCGATGGCAGTGATGCAGAGGTCCAAATAATCAAAACAAAACAAAAAATCATCACGTAAGCTAAAAACACTGTGGCCTTAAAGAAGTAAAACACTATATTTAATAGCTGAAGTTTTGGTAAATAGTTCCAGGTTCTTCACAGCACGCAGAGAGAGAGAGAGGCCAGAGACTGAGTCGATAATAACAGCTGGAGACTGCGCATTACATCGTTTAAAACACTTTGCCGATGAAAAGTTTTCACTTTGACAGAATTTCAAAGTAACTATTCAAATGTCAATTTAAAAACTTGTCATGAAACGCGTTTTACAATGGCTACTTTAAGATAGGCAGTGGGTATGTCCTGGGGGAGGGTTGAAAAGTGTGCAAAGATCCACGCATAGACGCACGCTCGAATCGATTCGAGTCAGAGCAACTTGTGGATTAGATTAGAAAATGTTCTCATAAAGCAGACGTCCTGTTGAGTATTAGGAAGATAATGTTAGGATGTGTGTTGAACTTTTTTCGCACCGTACGTAGCTAACCGTGCTTCTTGTAGGTGTCGGGGTGAAGGATCGTAGCGACACACAAAACGCAGTTACGAAGAAATGAGTTTTGTCAATGTAGATGATGATCATGTCAAAGTGCAACAGCTCCCGCTGTCGTCCTAATATCGGAAGGAAGAGCGTTCCAGACGGCCGCAGAAGCGCATCTGAAAGCGGCGCGATGCGGTGACCGCCGTCTTTGTTCCTGGTTAGCCAAAAGCCGCTGCTGCTGCTGCTGTGAGGATGACTGCAGATCCAGGTGATGTGGTGCCCGCTGGTCGAGACTAACAACAGAGCGGCAGCCGAGGGAGGGAATGCCCCCAGGAGAATGCCCTCCACGACTTGCAAGGAGTGCAAGGAGGATCGTTTACTCTGCAGGTGCACATCCAGCAGTAGAGAGATTATAGCTGGCTGTGACGATGATGATGATGATAGTAAAAGGTTGTTCATTCATATCATATCGTAAATGTAACAAGGTTATGATTAGTGGGTAGTTTTCTCAAACTAGTGGCTCTGGACGGCTGGTTGCTTGCACAATGATACCTCAAGCAATCTTGCTCCAAGATATCCTCAAGTGTGAGTGGCACGAGGTTGGTCCCACCACAGCCACCACGAACGCAACGTACTCTATTAATGTACAGGTCAGAGGTGGCGCTCTGTTGCCAACAGCTTTTCGGGAATGACAAAGTGGGCAAATAACAAAGTAGACGCCAGGAGCCGGCCCAGGACACGCCGGTGGGACTGCGTCGCTCAGCTGGCCTGGGGACGCTTGGTAATTCCCCAGGCAGAGCTAGAGTCTGTGTATCGTAGTGTATAATGTATAGTAGTGTATAGTGTAGTGTATAGTGTAGTAGTGTATAGTGTAGTAGTGCTGGAGTCTGTCGCCAGGCAAAGGGTGGTCTGGACCGCCACTGTTTAACACGCTGCTATAGTGTAGTAGTGTATAGTGTAGTAGTGTATAGTGTAGTAGTGTATAGTGTAGTAGTGTATAGTGTAGTAGTGTATAGTGCAGTAGTGTAGTAGTGT